GAGGGACTTGGCTACACATTTAAATATGCGGAGGGAGACGGAGGGAAGGAGCCTCGTGATGTCATGGGGCGGTGGGGGAAATCTCTCAGAATCTAGCCTTGGCTGAGTAAAAGTGGATGTCTAGAAAAATGGCCAAAATAAGATAATATTCATACTGACCTCCTGATAGTGTGAGAATTTGAAAAATATGCCAGTTGCAACACAGGTAATTGTATTGGGCTTATAAATTAAGCATGGAGGCAAAAGTGAGATTGTTTTCAGACTCACAAACCATAGACAGTTCATTAAAATGAAGTTTCATGAGATTAGGTGTATAAGTAGAAACATTAATTAGCTAAATCAAAGTAATTTCTGATAAGAAAGTACAGTATGGCTCCAGCCAGGTGGCTCAGTTGTTTGGAATGTCGTCCCTTACACCAAAAAAAAAGGCTGCAGTACAATTCCCAATCACGTCACATACGTAGGTTGCGGGTTCGATCCTGGGTAGGGGCTTGTGCAGGAGGCAACCGATTGATGTTTCTCTCTCACATCAATGTTCCTCTCTCTCTGTCCCCTTTCCTAAAATCACTGAACATATCCTCAGGTGAGGATTAAAAGAAAGTAAGCACAGTGTAAACCGGATGCTGGGTTGATTCAAGTGTTAAAGAGGAACAGAATGTTTAAGAGGGGTCCATCCATGTGCTGTGGATTTACTACCAAATTCAGCAAAGCAAAAAGGGCAAATTAGAGAGCCAGGCTGAGGGCAGCTGTCTGTCTTCCTGTGGGCAGACTTGCCTGGAACATTCCTTGTGTTCCCAGGCTTTGACTGAGCAAGGGGTAGGATGAGGGCAAACCCAGGTGTTTCCCAGCAGACAGGGCTCCTGGGATTTCTTGTTCTACGAGGGGGACACATATTCATCCAGGAGGAGCCTTTAGGGAAACGGGCTCCCTCCTCAGCTACAAACACACGTTCTCTGGATCTGGCATCTTAAGAAACTTGTCTAAAGCGCAGTTTATAAAGTTAGACCAATGCCTCCGATCCTAATTCCTTGAACAGACATACATTCCCAGAACTTTTTCAGCCACCCTTCCCTTTCAAGCTTTACCTTGTTGGAGGTTTCACTCTCTTTCTCACTCCAAGATAAAACTTCATTGAACTGAGAGGAAACATTTTGTCATGTTTGCTACTCTGTAAGGAAAACAAAATAGTATGTAATTGAACAGAGTTTACAAATATCCTTGTTATTTGCCTTGAATGTTGATTTGGTTTAGAATTGCTTAGTTTTGGGCAAACCCAGGTGTTTCCCAGCAGACAGGGCTCCTGGGATTTCTTGTTCTACGAGGGGGACACATATTCATCCAGGAGGAGCCTTTAGGGAAACGGGCTCCCTCCTCAGCTACAAACACACGTTCTCTGGATCTGGCATCTTAAGAAACTTGTCTAAAGCGCAGTTTATAAAGTTAGACCAATGCCTCCGATCCTAATTCCTTGAACAGACATACATTCCCAGAACTTTTTCAGCCACCCTTCCCTTTCAAGCTTTACCTTGTTGGAGGTTTCACTCTCTTTCTCACTCCAAGATAAAACTTCATTGAACTGAGAGGAAACATTTTGTCATGTTTGCTACTCTGTAAGGAAAACAAAATAGTATGTAATTGAACAGA